GCTATGAATGGGCTAGAGACCTCAGCTCCCCATGTCTATTTCTTTACATGTTTAAGAAGATAGAGTACTGTGTATGGTCTGTGTGGGATATGTCAATCAAATGTCCCATTGTAGACAGTCTTTCTCTGTCCCTCCTGCCAGCTCCCAAATAACGACATGGAGACTTCTTACTGATTATGAAAGCTCAGCCAATACCTTAGGCTTGTTTTTAACTAGCTCATAACTTAAATTAACCCATTTCTATTAATTTACTTGCTGCCACATAGCTAATGGCTTGTTACCTCATCTCCTACATGTCTTGCTTCCTCTGAGTCTGGCTGGCAACTCTACCTTCTTCCCATCATTGTCTCTGCCCTGAAAATCCTGCTTAGCTATTGGCCATTTATCTTTTTAATTAAACTAATCACAGTGACAAGTCTTTACACAGTGTAATGAAATATCTTGCCACATACCATCTTTCCTATCAAAGGGCTACATGAAATAATTAGTAGGGCTGGGTGTGGTGGCACACACCTTTAATCCTACCTCTTCGAGCCTGAGGCCAGCCTGGTCTCAAACAATAAAAGAAATTAGTAAAGACACCACCTGTCAAAAATCCCTTCCCCAGTCAAGAGTTTTCTAGGATAGAAATATGCACTCCATGTTGCAACCTGTCCTTAAAAGTTGTGCTTGGTTTATCTGCCAGGCTTAGAGTTAGCTAACTGGAGAAGAGGGTGAAGCCAGGCTCTGACCATCCAGTGTGAGGTACAGGACCATTTGCACTGAGTAGCAGCCCAGCAGGACCATGGGTGTGCTCAGTTGTGCTTGCCTGATGGATTTAAAGCAGCTACGCAGCCTTCTGCAGAGGTGAAATGCTCTGTATTGCTGAAACACTGCACTGGATGGCTGTTTTCTTGGGACCCTAGGCAAGTGTAGGGAAGCAAGCTCTGATCATCTAGGCTTAGAGTCTACATTTTTCCCTCTACATGACTCTTGTTTGTGGCTAGTTCCTGAAGCATGTCACTGGAATTGCTTATTTCATACTGTGTGGAACAGGCATTTGTAGACTGCTTAGAGCATTGCAGAGGTTCACTGTGTGTGTGTGTGTGTGCGCGTGTGTGTGTAGCTGGAACTTGAACCCTAAGCCTTGAGTATGTCAGGCAAGTAAAGATTCCACTGAGCTACGCCCCCCCCCCCACTCTAAGAAATGTTTTTAAACTGTACTTACACACTTGGGGAGCCCTGCAGACCCTGGTTTCCATGGTTAGGACAATCTGTCCTTTCCATCTTTTTTCTCGTCTACAAACCCCATTGTGTTGTTGACTATTTCCCCAAATATTGCCTTGTGCTGGTAGATGAATTGGCTTGTGCAGTTAGATGACTGCCCTGCCCTGTTTGCCTTGTGGAGAATCCAGTGATCACAGGACAGAGCCTTAAACGTGCAGGGCTATTAGTAATCACTCCTTTGGATATCTCAGGACTTTTCCTAACATTGTACAAGCAGGAGAAAGATCAGCAAGGAAAGTGGTACGGCTGGCATCCGCCAACCCCCGGTGTCACATTTACAAGTTCATTTAAATGGCTTACTTGTTCTCTATGATAGACTTTATATAGTAAGAACATAAACATTGAGCTTACTAAAGACGTTGGGAAGCCATAGATGTAGGGAAGAAACAGCTTCAGGGGTTGACAGTTTGGGATTTGGGTTTTGATCTTCTTATTTCAGCTTGCTTTTCTAGGCTGTGGCTGTGTCATCTGGGAAACAGACCTGTTCTCCACCAGGCAGGCTAGTTGTCGATTGTTGTATTTATTTTGTTTTTGGTTTTCGTACACCACCTGCCTAGTATATGCAGTGGTGGGGACTGAACTCAGGGCCTTATGCATGCTAGACAAGCACTCTACCAACTGAGCTATATCCCAGCCCATAGCTTTGAAGATGATAGATAAATGTACATATGCAATAGACCTAGGCTGGTTTCTGATGCATAACTGAATGTCCCACAAATGCTGGCTGTTGTGCTTTTCATATAGAAGTGTGTGGTGTGTATATTATACTCTTGTATTTAATGTCTTGTATATTTACATACATATATATTATACTCTTGTATTTACTTACATGGCAAACAATATTTTCACATCCTGGTAAACATATTTTCTTGAAATTTGGAGGGGTTTTAGCAAATTGACACCATTTCTCTTTCTGATACATATTTGTGACAAATTAATTTCCTCCATTTTTCCATTCTGAAAGTGTGTGGAGTCTCAGCTGTGTAATTATTTGTGCTCTGCTAGGTAAAACCAAACAAACAAACACCAGCCACACGGGTGGGACTCCTGCTGGAACTCCACCCAGTTGCTTCATTTGTGTGCACAGACTCTTGGTGGGAGGGCTGCAGAAATTCTCACTCTTGGAAGGGTTTTTAGGCTCCCGGGAAGCTGAACAGGGAGGAAAGAGTGAATTTTAAAAGCTGCTATCTGCCTCCTCTAATTAACTTGCTCTCTTCTCCTGGGAGGAAGTATGGAAAAATGCAAACAAGGCCAGCAGCCCCAGAAGTGGCCCACAGTGGCCTGCGGTGTTTTGATGCACATGGTTGGTAGTAAAAAGACCATGGGGTACAAATGAGCATGGTGTCCTCATTCCCTGCCCACCCTAGGCCTGGGTGAATGGCCGTTCTCTGAGCAGGTGTGCAGGCTGGCAGCTGCTGCTGTAGAAACCTCATTGGAATTCACAACTAGGATGCAAGAGCATCTGGCCCCTCCTTGTCACTTGTGCCACTGAGAAAGATCAAGGCCCTTTGTGTTCCAAAGCCTTGAGTTGCCAGTGCCCAGGGCTGCAGAAGCAACAGGACGAGCTTTTGGTCTCTTTCTCTCTGCATTTCGGCCAGAGTAGGCAGAAGATGCTCATGGCATTACTTGCTGGGGGGCCGGGGCAGCTTTCTTTTTTGGTAATGTTGTGAAAGAGGTTTAGATCTCAAGAGATACCAGCAAGAACATATTAGGTGGGAATTTGGCGCTATTTTTCCATGGAGATGGCTTTTGGCTCCTGGCAGATGTGGTCGCCAGTGGAATGGGCCCGTTGGATGTGGGCAGCGGTGAGCAGCAGTGGGGACTCCAGGCTGCTAGCTGCCCAGGGAAGCTCCAGAAAGAGGCAAGTTAACGCTGTGTGTTTTGTCATGGTTGTCGCCGATGCTAGGGTGAAGAAGCTGGTTCCCAGGACTACATCCCAGGCCTATCGAGGTGGTCAGAACATTCATTCCTCTTTACTGTTCATTTGTGTTTTCATACTCTTAAAACTTTACCAAGATCTGGGTGTCCAAGTGTAGATGAAGCTTAAATTTTCCCCATAGACAAAAGCTAGGTCCAGTAGCATTAATATGTGAGTATAAGAGAGATCAGTGTCTTCCTTGTTGTGTTTGTGAGAACTAACTGTTTACTAATGAAATCTAACACAAAGTTGGCTTTAGCTCATTGGATCCCATCAAAAGCAGCTCTGATGTTCGTTGGTTTCTTTGAGCCCTGAACATGATACATAGTTGAATGTGACCTTGAGCTTCTGATCTTCCTGCCTCAACCTCTAGTGCTAATATTATGTAGGCTCAGACAACTCTGCCAGGTTTATGTAGTGTTAAGGATTAGACCCGTGGATTTGTGCGTGTTAGGAAATAACTACCAAGAGAGCCACATCTCCAGCCTTGTTGTAGATTCTCTAAAGAGAACTCACCAAACTGCTCATTTCCTGGGTCCTAATAGACCGCAAAGGGGTTTGTTGTTTGCTGACATTCTGCTGGCCGGCTGATGATCTTTAGAAGATGGTTACATCTTCCTAGGTCACACTGGTCCTGTGACCCTTTGAAATTGAACCGTTGTGGGCCTCTCACAGTGTTGGGGGGAGACTCCTGTTCAGTGACACCCATGTGATCTAGTGCCCCAAATCCTGACATGCCATGTTCTGTCTTCTGCTATGACATGACCTGATTCTAAATCTTCAGCCTGTGTAGCCACCCTTCTGGCAGTTAACCTCCTCCTTCCTTGCCAGGGATCAGTTGGCTTTTGGGTGCACTGGAACTGTTCTGAGATGAGAGCCAGAATGTTCCTGCTCTCTATAGACACTGTCCTCACAGGTAATAAGATTGGCCTTGGCCCTGTGGTCATCTTAAGGCAGTGAACTGCTGCCCTGGGTCTTTTTAGCAGCAGGAACTTATAACGGGAGTATTCATTCCTCTGGCTGAGGTCAATAGCTTGGGGTAGCAGGCAGGAAGAAAGCTTTACCACTGACTTCTTATTACCAGGAGAAACTTTCCTTGGGAAGCCTTTGGCCCAGGTCTCTGGATGAAGAGGCTTCCTTGCAGGTAGACTTCCCTACGGGCCACCAAGGGCTGTCATGTCACTACACCACTGAGGAGTGGCTGCCTGTGCTTTGTGGCTTGGTCTGGCGTACTCTCCACTGGCAAGCTGTCTGGCTCCCACTCATTCACTCTACAGATGGTCATTCATTGCCTTCCATTTTAGGCCCTGGGTACTGTGAAAAACAAGGCCAGCCATCTGCGTGGCACTTTCAGCCCAGTAGAAGAGACCAATAAGCATCTAGAAGAAGCACAGGGGAGGCAGAGGGTAGAAGGAACGGCAGGGTGGATGGAGAGAGAATGAATGCAAACTGAGTTTAAGAGATGAGGATTTTGGAGGTGGGCTGGAACCATCATGGTGAACATTAGACACTGTTTCTCTGTCTCTTAGACTGACTCAGTGCCAGATAGTGTACACCAAAATGAATCCAAAGAGCCCACTGTGAACTTGTCACTAAGGTAGACATGTATCTTTCAAGTAGACTTATGTTCAAAGAATATATATCATTGGATACAATGCCAGTGGCATAGTTCCTGGGAATCATGCTTTGAGGTGACCTTCACAGTTGAATTGTGTTTTTGCCCCAAATCTACTTGTTGCTGAGTAAGAAGGCCATGCCTTCTCAGCCGAATGTCTACTTGGCACTGTCTTACCTGTTTCTGATCTCTCTCTGCCAGGAGTTCCGACTCTGAGGAAGCCTTTGAGACCCCCGAGTCAACAACCCCTGTCAAAGCTCCACCAGCTCCACCCCCACCACCCCCTGAAGTCACCCCAGAGCCTGAGGTCAGCGCTCCGCCAGCCCCAGAAGAACCAGGTAACCAGATATTAGGAGCCGCCAGTTGTAGGGGCCAGAGTTGGCTCTTTGACAGTCCACAGCCCACAGTGGTTGATGTCCTTTCTCTTGGCTAAATTTTATGCTTCACTGGTTTTTCTGACATCTAAGGGTAAACAGAATGAGTTGTGCTGTGTGTTTCCTAGAAGTGTTCCTGTTGCCTGAGCTCTTTCAGGCTTCAGGAGGGTTGAGGAGGCTTGAGGGTTGCGATAACTGGGTATGGGAAACTTCCAGCAGAATCTTAGATTCCACTGTTTGACCCCCTGTCCCATATGATTATTGACACGAGCAACTCAGTTCACTCTACACTTATGTTCGAAGGACAGCTCTCCCAGGCTGGGGAAGGGTGTCGCCACATAGATAAGAAGAGTCAGTCAGTACAGGATGACCTATTGGTACTTTGGGGTTTCCTTATTGCTTGACACTTGCCTGCATCTTTTCTCTCCTAGTAAAAGTTAAATAGCACCATCAAATACAATTTAGGTGTAGTGACTCATGAGGGCCAGAAGGGATCTCAAGGCACCTGCTCACAAGGATGGTGTTCTGTGTACTTCCCCATTATACCAGGGGAGATGGATCTCTAATGGGAGGTTGAATATAAAGCCTAAACAGAGATGTTGCCTCATAGAAATGGCCCCATAGGAACCAAATGGTCCCATCCTTAGACCTGGATAGCGCTTAAAGGACCACACTCTGGCCATCTTTAGTCTTCAGCCCTGCCCTGTGATGAGTATACAGAGGTAACTCCCCATAGATCTGCACTAGGTGCTGTGGTTCCAAGATTCACCTCTTCTCCTGGCCTAACCCTGTCTTCCTGATGTCCTACTTTGTCTGCAGAGGAACCAAGAATAGAATTGGGACCTTCAGGCTGAGCACCCATAGCTCAGCTGGAGGTATCCCCAGCAGGGATGGAGGTGGTAGTGGAGGAAGACAGGCCTAGGTTTGGCCTCACCCTAGCCCTGGTCAGGATTGCTGTTGTTTGAAAAAAAAAAAAAAAGGATGGATTTTTTTTTCCTGCCAAAGGTTCAAGCAGGCCACTGATGTATAAACTACACACAGTCCCAAGATAAAGTTAGTCTTAAACAGCTGGGATGCCTTGTGCTGGGGAACAAAGCAAGGCAGTTTTCATGGGACTGGGTCCTTACCGAGGGCTGACAGGGATGGTGTTCCCCGTCTTGTGCTCCCTGCTGAGTCTGTATCGATGCTGGCCTCAGAGGGAATGGTGGGTGACTGTCTGATTTAAAGTGGAGGAGCTGGTGAACTGTTTGTAGTTCTGAGACTTTAGTGTCCCTTCCTCTGCTCTGTGGAATGACACAAAATGAAAAGGTACAAATTCACCCCTAGTTTTTAGTAGAAAGTGGCTGAATAAACAAACAGACTTATAGCTCAAACACCTCATTAAGGCATGCACAGGGGGAGGTCACTTTCCTGCCTCTCCCCATGCATCTTCCAGGATTTCCTGCCCAGTGTGCTCTGACTGCTCCAGGGAGCTGTTTAACACCACTGAACCATCTGTCTAGCCCCATAGTAAACTTTAGGCAGTAGTTGTACTGAGTAGTTACACCACACAAAAACAGGACACAACCTCCATTCTGTCTGCTGGGAATCAGGTGTTCAATGGTCCATATCCAGTGACCGTACACTGACTCAAAGGCAGTGGAGGCAGTCAGTAACATAGCACCTCATCTGTGCGGACACCCAGCTGGCACTGTGAGTTTACTTCTTATGATCATCTTCATTTTTCAGGTTGAGTGACCCGTTAATTTAGTACTTTGCTGTTGCTTCTTTCCTGGTTCAGTCAAATCCAAAGGTGACCCAGGCAAGAACTAAGGGCCAAAATACATCCTGTCCTTGCTTTAAGCCAGTTATTCTCTTCATTCTCTCACGAATACAAGGCTGCCTTCAGAATAGCCAAAATCAGAACCATTTCCTACCACCCCATACTTGAAGTGAGGAGCATTAAGTGGGTCCATGTGTTCAGCTGGGCTCCATCAGGACTGACTCGGGGATCTTCTGTCCTGGAGAATGACTTTGGAAAGCTCTGAGGTCTTTAATGTTCTGTGAGGAGGAGCCTCGGTCATACACAGTAGATTTGTATGCCAGTGCACCACTCGTTTTAGGAAATCCATAGGTCTGGCCATGATGCTTTGGAACCTCATCAGTTAGTCTGAAGTGCAGCCCACATTAAATGAATTGGGTCCAGTCTAAAAAGAGTCAGCATTAGAGCAAGACAGGAGCCCGGCGCACAGTGGTTTAGCTCTCTGGCAGTCATGTAAATGAAGAGCTTCCATTTGCCAGGCTCTGGCTTCTCAGTCTTCACCATGGTGGTTTGCAAACTGCTAAGGAGCAGCAGCTGCCTCAGGACAGGGACTGCAGCACCAGCCACTCCCTAGCTTCTTTTTCAGCAAAGCAAAGCATCATCTCCATCCTTAAAAACAAACACACACAACCCCACCTCTTACTTAAATGACAGCTTGTAAAAGAAAGAACATTATAGAGGCTTAACCTGTGTGGAGCGGGTTGGAGATGTTAATTGCCGAGTCACAATCCCACAGAACCTTTGACTACATCCCTTAAACTCCTCCTTTGAAAACTGCAGAGAACCTGTCAGTGTAGAGATCCCAGTCAGGGACCTGACCTGGGGACCCGCCTCCTTGTTTTGGGCTGTACAGAAGATCATCTGATTTGCTGCACATGTTGGAAGGTGCCCATCCATCTTGCAGACCTGCAGGGGCACTACAAAGGCGTGAGAAGGCCTTGTGCTGCTTGCGTGGGTCGCCCTGGGCAGAGAAGGGTTTGTTCTGAAAACCATGGGAAAGAAAGGGCAGGAGAGGAAAGTCCATTGTTTGTAGTTTTCCTCTGCAGAATGTCTGGAATGGCACTAAAGGAGCCCCAGGGACCACAGGAAATAATAGGCAAGACCTTTGACTGTGAGTACAAACATGGTTTTTTCCTCTTGGAAACCTGTTTTACAAAGCAATCACTTAATGTACTCTGGGTCCTGTGAGTGTGTTTGTGCTCCAGGGCACAGAAGGACAGGATGCTGAGTGCCCACCTTACATCTGTCCCCGTCTGAGGAGCCCAGATGAAGGCAGCAGTCTGCATGCTCTGAAATCTGCCCCCTCTAGCCTCTGTAGAACACTTGGCAAGGTCAGCGATGAGAGACGTACTTAACTTTTGCCTGATTAATGGCTTTGGCTAATGAACTTTCCCTGTGTTAGGCTCCTGGTAGGCCCTTTGTCTGCCTTATTCCCTTTTGGAGAGCAAATTATCCCTTATTTGAAGAGCATCCCCCTCCTTTGAGGTCATAGTCCTTCCCTGGGTTGTGCAGCATATGAGGGACTCTGGGATGGGAGCTCTAGCTTCCTGCTCTCCCATGCAGCTTGTCTGTGCAGGGGCTGCCTGGTGCTTCTGGCCTCGTAGGTGCTGAGTCGTTGCTATGCCCACTGGCACTCAGCCATGTGCTCAGCAGCTCTGTCAGCTGTCCCGGGAGCTGTGGCTTGAGCTGAGCCTCCCCAGATGGTCAGGTGGCAGGAAGGAAATCGTCAGCCAGGTACATGGTAGGAGTGCTGAGGTGAGTCCCTTGCCTGTCCTTTCTGGGACGGCCTTCTCATGGTGACAAAGTCTGCTCATTCTTGCTGAGAAGGGCTCTGGGAGGGCATTGAAGGTGACTGGAGCTGCGCAGTGGCCTGTGTGCCTACGTATTTCCTCTTGCTGGAAAGAGATGACCGGCCAGTCTCTGATTTTGGACCCCTTCTCTCAATGTTAGCTTCCAGGGGTGCTTATGTGGTCATGGGTCTACCACAGGAGACTTGTTTCTGTACATACTAGCATTTGCTTTTATGTCCTCTGAAAAACCCAAATGTGACCCGCAGCCCCTGATATTAAGATGTCCCTCTGGGGCTGCAGAACAGGGAGCAGGTGTCACCGGCATGGACAGGACCTGAGGGGCTGTGGCTGTATTTCCTGGCACCAACTGTGCCCTATGCTGGGCATTCATTTGGCCTTCCATTCCATCATCACAAGAACCCCTGGCTTACAGTAGCAACAAATTTATGAAGTAACTTGCCCAGAATGCACAGCCTCAGCCGTGGCCAGCCTACGGATAGACGGAGTAGCGTGTGAATAATAGAAGTTCACGGCTCTGGTTCTAAGGCTGGGGTTCAGATTTGGTGTCTGGAGGAGGTCATGTTCACCAGCAGCAGTGGGTGGGACAAACAAGCTCCCTCGAGGTATTAATCCCATGAACACTCTTTCCTGAAAGTGACCTCCCAGAGGTCTTGCTTTGAGAAGGAGATTTCTGCATGGGAATTTCAGGGGTCATAAATGTTTAGACTGAAGACACAAGTTGGGGTCCAGGGCTTTTCAGAGCCGGGTCTGGGTGCCACAGCACTTGGGCCAGTCAGCTTTCCTACTCTTCTTGATGTGAATGTTAGTATGTACACAGGTGTCTGGAACAAGTGAAGCTGTTGGGGACTCTGATGTGATGTTTAAGGAGAAGAGCCCTGGTGGAGCATGTCGGGCTCTTGCCCTGTGATAGACACTATGCAGGTAATTGATAGTCATTGGGCAAGGGACACATGAGCCCACCACAGCCAATCCCAAACCCCATTCACCTCAGGCTAGAAGGATGGTAGGAGGTTGTGGCTACATAGACACAGGTGAGGAAATCAGGGAGTAATGACCTCAGTGGCCCACTTGTAGCTGTGTTCACACTGCCCTGGGAAACTTGGGTGGGGCTACCAAGAAGCTGGCCAGGCCCTGGTCCTCTAGACACCTATTTACTTCCCTTTTGTGACCCTGCTGGAGAGTCTTGATGCAGCTCTTTATCCATAATCACACTCTAACTCCTGGCAGCTCCATGAGCTCTAGTGAAGCAAGGATGCCCAGGTCTCCTAGCTGGGTAGCTCCGCCCATGGTCCCCAAGAAGAACAAGCCAGCGTTGTCCTGGCAGGACATTTGATTATTATTTAGTTAGGGTT